CTTTTCTTATCTTGAAAAGAGGTAAGATAATGAAGTTTTAAACAGTTGAAGAAGTTAACTGGAAAGGAATTAACATTTCAAGGCCATGCCGCTTCTTCCTCCCCTTGTGATACCAACCAGAATTGAGGGAAAATAGGCAGCGGGGAACCCACACTGAATTTTCCAGACTCTACCGCTGAAAGACATTGCATATTTTTATTGTAATCATATGTGATGCAAGAGAATGTTGCTCATATTTGAGTCCCAAAAGAAAAGATGTTTGTCTGAGCATCCCCATGAGGTAAGCAACCCCATGAAGGACCCGCTGCAGCCAGCGAAGAGCTCCAGGTCCCTGACATAGTTGATGGCAGAAGTAAATCTTTATTCTCTTATAGTGACTTTGTTTCTGAAAGAGGCCAAAAGTCATTTCAAGCTGAATCTGACAGATAAGATAGAGGCCAGAGCTGAGGAAAATAAGTAGCAAAGCTGATCTAAACCAAGGTGTGACTGTGAAATGGTAACCATCTTCTTTGCACGTTTCATAATGGGCCCTGGATGCCATGGCAAGAGGAAAATTCCAAAGCTGTGTGCAGCAGCGGCAGTACCATTGGAACACGTTTACAGCCTACCAGGGCTCCTTAGAAGGGGGTCATGTTTATTTGGATATATAACCCCTGATTTGTTTGTTTTAAAAATAAACTTTATTATGTTAGTGTCGTACCTCATGTTTTCCTTGGAACATTCTCCTCTAATCCTCTTTGAGAGAGTGGGAGGGAGAGATTGTGAGGGGAGAGAGAAGTGTTCAACAGAGATATCCTAAGGAGGACCAGGAATCCTGAATTACCTAAATAACCCACTTCATTATCTCCATTTCTCGATGGCACTTGGTATCTTTGAAGACAAAGATCAATTCGAGTCCCCGTTTTCAAGAGTCAGTGAGCAGTAACAGTTTGTTTGTGTGGCACTGATTGATCCTTGTCCGGGCAAGTGGCCTTTCCACGGGTTATCCAGCTTGGCACCTGACAGACAGAAGTGCTGGTGGACTGTGGAGCCAGACCCGCTGTGGCTCCCCTCCTCGCCCTGCTGCTTCCTAGCTGTGCATCTTGGACAAGTGACTTAATCTTGTGCCTCATTTTTCTGTGGAATTGAAACAATACCCTGTCCCACTGGGCAATGGAGATCAAATGGCATTGACATAGGTAACATGCTTAGCACAGGGCCTGGCACGTAGTGGGCATTCAGTAAGTGGAAGTTACGATTGTTATTAGGTATCAAAGAACAAAACTTAATTGTCAGAATAAGCAAACCAGTTGGAGTAATAAATGTAGCCTTTAGAGTTAAATGGCACAACCCTGATAGCCAAACATAAACTGTTTTGGTTATTTTTAGTTGGATATTCCCAGTCTTTTATTTCTACATCCCTCTTCAGGCTGAGTGCTTAAAATACATTTATATGTAGTCTCAATTAGATTATGCTGTTTCCCCCAAAAGACTACAGTGACTCTTAATTTAATTTATAGAACCTTGAATTGCATGGAATAGCCACCACGTTTCGCTTTAAACCTGGTAGCTTCCAAAACTTCCCTATGGTGTTTTCGCAAATGGGTCTCTACGTGTCATTGAAGGAGACAGTGTATCTAGGAAAAGAAATGAGGATACTGAGCAAGGTGTGGTGGCTCGTGCCTGTAATTTCAGCACTTTGGGAGACTAAGGCAGGTAGATGGCTTGAGGCCAGGAGTTCAAGACCAGCCTGGGCAACACAGTGAGATTCCATCTCCACAAAAAAAAAAAAAAAACCCTAAAAATTATCCAGGCATAGTGGTGCATACCAGTAGTCCTAACTACTCAGGAGGCTAAAGCAGGAGGAACACTTGAGCCCAGAGGTTTAAAGAGCTATGATTGCACCACTACACTCCAGACTGGGCAACAGAGTGAGACCCTGTCTCTTGAGAAAAAGAAAAAAGTTACTGGTTTTCCCATTGCCTCCAAGGCATTCAGAGTGATTGTTCTTTCTCATATATCATTTTATAAATATTCTTTTAGACAGTGATCTCATACAGTTACTGAATGAGTATTTACATAAACTCTGTATTATGCTGTAGCTCAGCATTTGATCTTTGATATTTCTTCTGTGGTTTTGATACATCAATTGAAATTATTCTACATAGGTCAGTATCATTCAGAAAACACCACACGTCATGGCCAGGTGCTTTAGGTCCAGGCTCAGTCTAAGTTCTTCCCATCATTATTCTCATGTGTGTGTGGGGAGAGGAAGGGAAGGAAGGAAAGAAGGAACAAAGGAGAGAGGGAAGGAGGGAAGGAAGGGGCGAGGGGGAAGGAAGGAAGACAGGAGGGAAGGGAGGGAGGGAGGGTGAAAAGGAGAGAAGGAAGGATGGAGAGAGGGAGGGTGAAAAGGAGAGAAGAAAGGATGGAGGGAGAAGGAAGGAATGTAGATAGGTGAGGGAGGGGGAAGGAGAGAGAGGAAAGGAAGGAAGGAGGGAGAGAAGGAGGGAGGGGAAAGGAGGGAAGAAGGAAGGAGGGGGAAGGAAGGAAGGAGGGAGCGGGAAGGAAGGGAGAAACGGGGAAAGGAGATGAGGGTGGGGAAGGAAGGAGAAAAGGAAGGAAGGATGGAGGGGAAAGGAAGGAGGAACAAGGAAGGAAAGAAGGAGAAAAGGAAGGAGGGAGGGAAGAAGAAGGGAGGGAGAAGGGAAGGAGGGAGGGAGGGAGGAAGGGAGGAAGGAAGGAAAATAATAATAATAATATAGACAGTATAGACCACTGCTTGACCTTAAGTCAGAAGAGTTATGGACAAGATGGGATGAGAAGTTTCACCTCCCGTCTGATTTCTTTGTACAGTAATACTGTTACTCAAATTTTATTCAGTGATACTGCATTGTATGGACCAAGGTTCATATAAAATACAATGAGTGATACTGCTTAATGAAACATTGCTTCCTTTCATAAAGAATTCTCAGCAAAATAGACTCTAAATTTGATGGCCAAAACTAATGTCCTCAATGCCATGTGTTGGCTGGAGGTCAGAGTACTACTTAAATTAGGCTCATTGGATGATTTTGTTCAGCCAATTTGACATGTGCATTTTGGATACCTTAGTGAAGTCGCCTCCTTTAAGGATTCCATATTATCAAGAACTTCTGTCATGAGTTTCTTTTGAAAGTCTCCAAGTGAGTTTTTAGCCCAATAATGAGTGTGCCAGAAGATTTCTGTGCAGCCTCTACAAACATCAGGAAGTGCATTTTTTAATAGACTGAAAAATGGATTTCTAATTATAACTAGAACTTTCCATGATTACTTGACTTAATGTCCCTTGTTGAACTGTAGCCAGCAGTAATGAGAAAAATGATAGAAGTTGTTGAGACCATAAGAGATGAGGCACTTAACACTCGATCTCAGTTTCTTCCTTGGGCTTGCTTCTAACACTCGCCAGTGGATTGAGATTTGTATCTATGGAGTAAAAATTTTACAATATTAGGCCATTATTAGTGCCATTTATAAAGGTGCATATGCTTGAGTAAAGATGGCCTAAAGTATGTGGGGGGGATGTGAGTAGGTATATACAAATACTACACTATTTTGTATAAGGGACTTGGGACATGAGCGTCTTTGGATTTTGGTATCCATGGGGGTCCTAGAACCAGTCTCCCAAAGGTACCAAGGGACAATTGTAATTGGTAAGAAGAAAACGTAGAGACCACAGATCTGTGAGCATTTCTCTCTGTGACCTTCCTCTAGAAAAGCTCAGTCTGAAGCACAGACTGTGTCTTCAGAGAGAGCCACTTCCAGCTGCCTTAGAGCACTCGCTGCAAAGCTTGGGGCTGCTCAGAGAAAATGGCTCCTGATGCCATTATGGGCTTCTCATCGTGCCCTGAGATGTGCTGGGTTCTGTTTCTTGTGTCTATTCAATAAACTCTGACCCTTCAAGAGCTTCCCAGATGCTTTCCAGGAAGAATCCTGGGCCGTGGGGACGACTGCCTTCCTAAGGAACTTTCCTTCTAGATGCCTTTGTAGTTTTTCTTGCTTAAGTGACAAATGGTGAGTGGCGCTGCTTTTAGAATCTGAACATAAAATGTCCCTGGATCAGTAGGTGTCATCTAGTTATCAGTCTCGCGCTCACACCCCCGCCACTAGGTTTCGATTTGCCCCATCTCTGCTTTGCTGCTGGATCTGCTGGTTCTTGGGGCCTCACTCTGAACCATATTCTTGTGTGCTAGAGGGAAATTTCTGCGTGTGAAATGTGGCCACTAGGGAGTCAGTAAGTTCAGGTACACCAGAAAAAGGCGGTGAGTCCCAGAGAAAGGAACCTTCAAGGAGAAGGTTGGAAGAGGGAGGAAATGAGTGTGACAAGTGACAATGGGAAGAAGGAGCAGAATATTTAAATTGCAAATCCCTGTATATACTGTATAGACAAATAGCTCTTTTTTTCCCTCAAAAACCACAGTTTTCTGGGGGGAAAAAACGGATTGCAATGAAATGAAGCTGTTTTTAAAGTAGAAATGCCCTTGTAGATGAGAGAAATCTACGCGGCATCCCTGGAAAATGAAGGAAGTGGTTATCTCGGTGCTGACTCCCACTCAGGGGTTGCAGAGGAAACCTGCTAGTTCCCTGTGATGTTGCCATTATCACTCCTTACCATTCGCCTGTATTGTTTACAAAACAGGAACTTCTTGAATCCATCTCTGTAAATAAACTCAGCTGGACTTTTTATCAGTCTCTTTATCTCTTTCTAGATGACAGTCTAAGGACATTTATCTAACGGGTACCATTCCCTGCCGGTTGTTGTAGTGACCACCCTGTGCTGGCCTCAGTGGCCACAAGATGAAAGCCCTGAGGGTCCTCCTAAGAAAATGAAAGACTAGGGAAACAAAAGTTTCACCGAATTCCAGAAATCCTAAGGCATACTGTGATTATACAAAGCTATTCCCTTGATCTCTCACGTGTAATAAGATCGTGTGCATTGTCACATCAGCGACTCCACCATGTGCTGTTCTTTTCACTAGAAGACACAATTCCAAAGAAGGTGGTGTGCCACTTCAGTGGGAAGGCCTATGCCGACGAGGAGCGGTGGGACCTTGACAGCTGCACCCACTGCTACTGCCTGCAGGGCCAGACCCTCTGCTCGACCGTCAGCTGCCCCCCTCTGCCCTGTGTTGAGCCCATCAACGTGGAAGGAAGTTGCTGCCCAATGTGTCCAGGTATCTAAGCCACCATCCTTCCATTTGTCAAGCTGTAATGTTGACTTAAGATGAAATCAAAGCAGAGCTCAACCTGCTCCCTCTTTCGTTAGTTCACATGGCCCAAGTAGCGTGTCAGGCCCAGTTAGCACCTCCCACCCAAAGACCCTATGGGTAACTTGGAAAACCACGACCATCCAGATGAGGGGCAGATTTGGGTTCCATGCCAGAATTGCTCTGGTTCTTTTCTTCTCATTTACATTCTCTAAACTTTAGTATAACCAAACCTGTTAATGACACCTGCCCTATCAGAGTAGTAGCACAGTTTTAGTGCAGTGTTGGACTAGCCTAGAGAAAGTGGTCCAAGATGGGACCCAGAAGGGAAGATGCTTAAGGGCCATTACACTGTGAAAATATATTAGAACCAAAGCGGAAGACCTGCATTTAAAGAATGTAGTTCTGGTTCATTCTTTTTTTAGTTCATCAGTTCCAGCCAGTACCCATACTATCCATGCAGCCCTCTCCCAAGCCCTCAGCTGAACCTCCCATCTCTTTCCACACATAACGCAACCCCTGAGCGTATCCCAGCTGGCTGTTTTGAATCCCTGCACCTGCATCTTTCCCCACGCCCCACTCTTCATATCTACTGCATTATCCATCTCACAGTTTCAAACCTAAGTCCTTCTCAGCTGCCCAGAGTCTCCCCTAGCCCTTCTCTTAGTTTCCATGTCTGCACCTCCTGCCAAAACTATTCCTCTTTCCCCTCCGTCTAATCCCAGAAAGGTAAGACCTGAGCCCTCTCCATCGGGACTGAACCCCTAGACACACAGATTTCCCAGATAGTATAGACCACACAGACCCAAGTGAAGGCTCACTCAAAGACTTCATTGAGGTCCTGAGCAAGTCAGGAGCTTTTCTATCTTACCTCGATTCTCATGTTTTCTCGCAGCATTATATTAGAGAACCTTGTTCTGTTCAATACAGGGAGCTGGGAAGCATGCCAGTTCAGAAGTGCATCTGTACTATGCAGTTGTAAGAGAGGGCAGTTGTTAAACCCAAAGAGTTTAAGTGAGCTCTGCACATGTTGGCCTTTTGTTTAGGCGTTGTGCAAACTATCCCCAATTGAGCATTTCTAAAAATGTCCATTTATCTCCTAAAAAGGATAGAATGTTCTGCCAGGTAAGGGGGTGGAACCATTTTTCAGAGCCTTCAGTTGGGTTCTCTTTATAGTTTTCCATACACACTTGCTGTGTGTATGGAAAAAAGGAAAGTCTTAAGTGTTTTAAATGAGAATAAGAAAAAATATGTGGTTTTCCACTGGAATTATTTTTCTAGTATATATTCACCTATGTTTCACAAGTTTCATACCAGTTTCCCCAGTAATATGCTTTTAATGATATAAATGATGAAACTTGACCTTATGTATTTCACAAAGAGTCATTTAACGCCTTTTATGTGCCAAGCACTGTTCTAGGCACTGGGGACACAGCAGTGACCAAACAGCAGTGCACACGTAGCTTACATTGTAGCAGGGAGAAACCAGGCAGCAAACAGGTAAACAGTAACTAGGCAGCCACGAAGATGGGGATCAGGCTCTGGAGAAAGGCATAGCAAGACAAAAAGGCTGGGGAGAAGTGGGGCAGGCAGTTGTTTTGTATTATGTAGAATGGTCAGGGAGTACCTTACCAACAAGATGAGATTTAATGAAGAGACCCAGAATTGCAGTTCTCATGGGGAAGAGGCAGAACCTTTGGGTGTAGCCAGGGCCAGGGCCCTGCAGTGGGAACATGCCGTGCATGTTCAAGAGGAGCTGTGTGAAGGTAACTCAGTGAGCACGGAGGAGGTAAGAGGTGGGGCAGAGAGGCAGCCACGGCCAGACACAAAGGGTCTCACAGATGAGTGCAGGATTGTATTGAGTGAGATGAAACCTTGGAAGGTTTGGAGCAGGGAGTGACAGCATCTGACTTACCTTTGAATGGGATTTCTCTGGTGCTGGGTTGAACATAGACTGTGGGGCATGGAGGTCAAGAGTGAAAGCAGACAGATCAGCTTTGAGGCTTTTTAAAGAATCCAGGTGAGAGATGACAGTGACGTGAACAGGGTGGTAGCCGTGGAGGTGGGGAGAAGTGGGCAGGTTCTGACTATGCCGTATCAGTTGCATCAGTAGGATTTGAATATATGTGGGGAGTGAGTGGGAGAGGAGCCAAGGATGATTACGACATTTTGGTTTGGGGCATTTTTAGCTTGAAATACTCAGCATCAAAGTGGAGATAATGAATAGACAATATCTAATCTGGGGTTCATGAAAGAGATTGAAAGTAGATCTACAAATTTGAAAGTTGTCAGTCATAGTTGGTTTCTAGTCTCAAGGTTTTTAAGCCTTGAGACTAGATGAGATGACCCAAGAGTAAGAATAAATAGAAGAGAAAAGAGAGCGCAGGACTGAGCCCTGAGACCTTCTAACTTTTGGAGATTGAGCAGGTGCAGAGGGCCTAGCAAAATAAATAGAGAAAGAGCACCAGGAATAAAGGAGGAAGCCAAGAGGGTCAGAGTGACATGGAAGCCAGGTGGAGAAAGGGTTTCTGGTAGCAAAGAGTAAACAGCTGAATCAAGCACCGCTGTTAGCCAAGTAAGATGCAATGTGAGAACTGACTTGTGCATTTAGCACTGCTGTAATGAACTTCACAGAAGTACAGCGGTGGAGGCAAAGTCTAATCAGAGTGGTTTCAAAACAGAATGGGAGAGGTGAATTGGATTCACCTCTCCCATTGGGAGTTACGGTTATGCAATTCTCATGCAGACCATGCAAAGTTCATGACTAAGATGGACTATGAAGTTGAGTGTCCTTGGAGGGTTTCACAGAGAAAGGACATGAGCTAGATTTTAAAGGACAGATGTGCTCTCTTCATTGGAGTGAAGAGGATAACTTGACCAAGACCTGAGATGGGAAAAGTCAAGGCCAGTGCCTCCTAAGGTCAAGGCCAATGCCCCTAAAGCAGTGAGTTCTAGTAGCAGTAGGTAAGGACAGAAACACTAGCTTCGCCAGGATTTTTCAGGCCTTAAATGAAGAGTGTAGATTTTGTTCTTCATAGGGAATGGGAAGGCTTATTTTTGAGCAGCTGAATGACATGATCACAAAGGTGTTTTGGGGTAACCTTTGTGTAATGGGGTGGTGCGCAGGAATGACTAAAGCAGAGAGAGACCAGACGCCAGGACAGCTGTATCATGCACTGCAAATGTCCTAGGTGTGATAATAAGGACCCAAATTCAGGTAGTGGTGGTAGAAATAGAGGTAGATTCATTCTCCTTGGTTTGTGAATTTCATGAGAGAGAGTACAGATACTGCTAACATCCTTGTTCATCATTAGAGATTTCTCCAGTGAGTTCTCAGTTAAGATTTACTGTTGGGTTGAAATTTAATTTGTTGATTAACTCTCCTTTCTGCATCTGCTCTATTCCTGATGAAACATTTTTCCATCTTTAAGCAATATTGCAATCAGTTGAGCTTGTGCCACCTTCTGTTTGATCCAGTATGGGCTGCCAGGAAGGCTGGATTCCTGTCCCATTCTTGCATCGGTTCATTGTGTGATCTTAGTCAAGACTCATCACCAAAGTTTCAGGCTTCCATTTCTCATCTGGATAGCACATGCCACCTCCCAGAAACGCTGTGAGGATTATACCATCTCAGAAATGCTGGTGTGGGAGCATTTCCCAGTCCGTCCAGCAAACACCTTGCTTTGTCCTTTAGACATTCTGAATATCCTCTTTCTTTACAAAACACTTTCCACCTTCACCATATTTGGATATGAGTACAGAACCTATGAGCTGTTAGGTGATTAGCACCTGTCTCATTTTACAGAAGAAACTGAGGCTCAGGGAAGTTAAGAGTGTTATCCAAAGTCATGCAGCTGGTTATCAGAGGATGAGACCCCTGTTCCTAAATTGACCTCAGGTTCCATCTCCCAAAAAAATGCGGACCTCAGCTTGTGAGCACCAGCCACCTCGCCCCATATTCCAGAAAAGGACATTTTTAAGGAAGGCAGCTCTTAACAGATGACCAGATGCCTCCGAAAGTAAAATATATCCCCAGTAAATTATCTTGAGTTCCTCCAAAGCTCAGATAAGTATGAGCACAGGCGTGATTGTGACCATGTGCCCATGATCTTTGTGGCAGGGCTGGATGTAGCTTTTTGTAAGTCGCCCTGGCACTGTCCATCTGCTATGCCAACAGCTATAAAGGGCTCTTCTAGTAAATACCAGAAGGGTTCTATTTTAGAGTCTTGGGTTGAAGGCGGTCTTTAGCCATGGAAGAAGGCCTGAGTCTAGGTGTGGAAGCAAATAGCATTCCCACTTCTTTTTGTTTCAACAAGCAGTTTTTTAACTAAAGAGTTGTTCTTTTTGGCAAAACTGCTCAGAGGCAGCTTCCCTTTTATGTTCAAATTAAAGGGAAATGACTCTCTTCCCTTGGACTTGAGGACTGTGAACTGGAGCTGTGAGTGTTTTGTGATAAAGGAGGAGGTGTGGGTGGATTTTAATCAGAGCTGAACTGAGTGGTGGAGTGAGCTAATACACAGGACAGGTTATGAGCTGCTGGAAGTAAGAAGTAGCTGTCAGGCATCACTCATCAGGAGAGACCCATGGGGGCCAGGATTGGTCTCACTCAAAACTGTATGCCCAAAACCAATGCCTGCCATGTAGGAAGTGCTCAGGAAATATTTGTTGAACAAATGGTAATACAATTAATCACTGAAGGAGACATCCTCCTTCACCATAGAACCTTCTCACTTTCCCTGCTGTTTCCAAGTAGAGCCCCTGTGGGAAGAGGACTCACTGTCATGCCTCAGCTTGGTGGAGTTTCACCTGAAATCTATCCATACGCAGGGTCAAGGCAAAAGAATTCCAAAGTTACTTCTCTACTGCTCTCACTCAGGAAGAAGCCTGAGGTGGAACTCAGTCAATCCCAGCTCTGGGGCCTCTGCAGAAGCTTTGACTACTTAGCCATTGACATTCACAGGTTTGGTGGAATCGGTGTCATGTTCACCCTTTACACTGAGGCCTCAGAAACCAGTGGCAGTTCGGCCCCTGTTGTCATAGGAGGCTCAGTGTGAAGCCCTGGACTAGGCAGGGGAGGGACAGAAGGGTGTGTGACATTGAAAGGTGTCAAGTAAATGGCAACGTGGCTTTTCTGCCCATATTCACCCAGGAAATTCATACCACATATGAGAGCTTTTCAGTGGATGGATTAAATACCATCCCCCTACACACAGCTCCCGGAGTCACCTAGTCCAAACCTACTGAATCAGGACCTGTGAGAGTCAGCACATTTTCTAAGCTCTTTGGGTAATTCCGATATGATTTTTAAAAATTTGAGAGTCAGCGGTTTGTGCTTAGGCCCCTTGCGCCTGCAAATGGTAATACTTTCAGTAACTTCTATTTTTAATTCTCGAGTTTGCAGGGATGCACTGAACCTGTAGAAACTATAATTGTTCCCAGTTCTTTTTATGTCTAAAGGCTTTATAATATAACTAAAAAAGCAGAAGACTATTCTTGGAGGCAGCAAGAAAACTTGGGCTTTGGAATCACAGAACTGCATTTGAATCCCAGCTCTACCACTTACTAGATGCATTTGAGCGATTTAACTTAACCTCTCTGGGTTTCTTTCCCTGGCTGGGTACTTAGTTAACTCATGGGGGAACCTTAGCAAGTACTCTCTTCTCTGTCACTTTCCTCTTCTCTCAAAGTCATCTTAAGGTTTACTTCTCAAAAGCCTGGTAACTTTGAGACAGAAAACAATCACTCTCGCAGAGGGGATTATTAATCCTATTTTAATTTATATACTGTATATTTTATGTTGGTCTAAATTAGGCAATGGTGAGTATTTAGGATCCTACGTGTTGAGTAATTGCTTTATAAAAATCAGTGAATAATATGGCAGGATCTGGCCGACAGGAAATACATGCATGACACAAACTTTTATTGTCACATTTTGAAAACAAGTTCTTAAGAATTAATTGCTTTAAAATGTGGGGCTAGTTGTCATCAGCTGGATAAAGTATAAATATAAAGAAATATTTGTAGGAGCTGAGAAAAGCTCTGATTTTTTTTTTTTAAAAGGCCTGATATTTGAGATAAATAATGTTCTTCTCAGTTTGTTTTATGTTGTAGTATAATACCTATCTGATCAAACTGGACAATGTAAATATATTTACCAAAGATCAGTTTCTAATCTAAATGGTTCCAGTGGTAACATAATGGACATCTGAGACTTATACTCATGAGGTCTCCCTACAGTCTTTTCCCATGTAGGGGAAGAGAGAGGAGAGGAAATGCCAAGAAGTCCGTAAGAAGTGGACAATGCTTTAACTTTTTCAAGTTTTGCTAACATATTTTGTGTGAGTTATTCAACACCCCTATATTAAAGAGCAGCAGCTATTAAACACCAACATTTATTAGCTGCTGGAAAGTAAAAAGAAATAATTCCCGCCGGGCGCGGTGGCTCACGCCTGTAATCCCAGCACGTTCGGAGGCCGAAGCGGGTGGATCACGAGGTCAGGAAATTGAGACCATCCTGGCTAACGTGGTGAAACCCCCTCTCTACTAAAAATACAAAAAATTAGCTGGGCGTGGTGGCGGGCACCTGTAGTCCCAGCTACTCGAGAGACTGAGGCAGGAGAATGGCGTGAACCCGGGAGGAGGAGCTTGCAGTGAGCCGAGATCACGCCACCGCACTCCAGCCTGGGCAACAGAGTAAGACTCCGTCTCAAGAGAAAAAAAAAAAATAATTCCACTTCAGCTAGTCCCCTTCAGTTTCCATAAAGTTGTAAAACCAACACCATTTGAACGTGAAAAAGCAGTTTTTGACCCTGGTGGAGTAGAGAATTCTTTTGTCTTTTAAATGTTACAAGACGCGTTCCTTCTCACTGCAAAGCTTGTGATTCTCTAGCATGAATGATGTAAATGGCAGAAACTGCATCTTTCACGTCCCAGGAAATGTGGGCTTGAATTGAGTGCACCATTTGGATTGAGAATACAAAAGCCAGCAAGACAGCAGCTTCATCATCTCTTACGAAAAATGTTCCCTTCTTTTAGAAATGTATGTCCCAGAACCAACCAATATACCCATTGAGAAGACAAACCATCGAGGAGAGGTTGACCTGGAGGTTCCCCTGTGGCCCACGCCTAGCGAAAATGATATCGTCCATCTCCCTAGAGGTAAGCATTGAAGGCAGCTGAGATCTGCCAGTTTTCTATGTGGTCTATTTTGGCTTTTTTCTAATTTTTAAAATTTCCTGTGAGTAACTTTTTAAATGACTTGCTGAAGTAAATTCCGATAACTATTCCCGGGCAGACCTGCCTGGCTGAAACATATTTACACCACACATGGATAAAATAAGTCAGCAGGTAACTGGATTAAATGCTTCCTTCCTGGCCCTCCTTGCTCAGAGACTTTGTGATGATGGAAATAAATATGTTCCTAGTCATAAGAGCTTCGTATCTGGAACTTGTAAGCCATCTCTCAAATGTATGTATATACAAACTTTATAAGGAGAGTAATCATGAATTAGTCACTGTCTCTTGTAGATTCTGCACTGAGCATTTGTACATCAGGTTACCCTCTACTTCTGGGCAGTTTTCACTTCATGTGAGTTAAATTTATTACCTATGTTGATTTTTCCAGTCACCAGGTTTACTCCATGCCTTTTTTTCTTGCTCTATCCTTTCAGTTTGTGTGTAATAAAGATGTTATTTTGTCTCCCAATAGCTGTTAATATTTCCTTTTCTATAAAAGTAGACCTCTTCTTGATCAGTGGTATAAACTAGCTCTTAGCCGTGACTCAGTACTGCCTCCTGTCCACTCCAACCATATTTTCCAAATCATTGCTATATAATTTTTATATTTCTTTTGGAAGAAGCAATATTCATTGCTTGAGAGATTACTTGTCTGTGACTCTAAATATTCTAAACGTTATGCTCAGATCAAGCCAGATGACCAGAAAGCCAATTTCCTGGGCCTAGTGTTTTTGGCTCTCTGTAAAATTGTTCTGACTGAACGTGCTTTAGCATTATGCTTACATTCACTCAGTCAATAAATATTAGTGCCTGCTGTATGCCAGGCCCTGTTCTAGAGGCTAGACTTCGGTCATAAGTATAGCCATACTTACAGTATGTTGAAGACCTGTGCATTGCATAGTATCTATGTTATAAAGCCCCTGAAGAGAAATTTTCTCATGCGTCAATAGCAAGAAAATGTATACTTCTCCTAGGCAACTGATTTGTTTTAACCTGGAAGACACTGTGAATCCTATTAAAGACTGATAGGTGTTTCCATTTTTGGCTTTGGCTGCTACAAAGCTCAAAGCTAACTTTTAGGGCTTGGTTTTAGCACAGAAACGGCACCGGAAGACTGATTTTTGTAAACAGACCTCACTTGCAGCTTCATTTTTCTTTCACCGAGACCTTCCTTAATTTATATCTTATTCTTCTTGTATGACACATAGTCCTAAAACTTCTATTTCATTTGGAATATGGGAAAGTAAAATTCATTCTTTTATTCGTTGTGTATTTAAAATCTGAATTCATCAATAAAATGTTACTCTTATCTTTGACATTTTTCTTGATGCTGATAAATATGTTTCTACAAAGCTTTACTGCCATCTGCACCAGCTAAAATGATTAGGAATGTTTTCTACCTCCCATTCCTCCCTGCTCCCACCACCCTCCAGAACACACACGGAAGCATATATCATTTAAAGTCTGAGTTTTACACCACAGTCTTACATACCACAAAGCTCTGTCACTTCCTGAGCTGAATTTCCAGAACAATTTGAGAGTAACTCCTTTCGACATTGTGTGTCATGTGTCTTTCACTAAACTGACTGTTAATGCATTTAGAAAACCTGACACAGTGATTTCAAAATAGAATAAAAATAAGGAAACTTTAGGGAGTGCCCCCTACTGGTACGTATTTAAGCTTATTTCTGTCTGCAACATACATTGCAAGATAGTTTAAGAGAACATAAAGGTCGTCATTCATAAGTGCAAAACTAAATGTAGTCACCTATGCAATATAATTCATTAAGGCAGAAAAACGATCTAATACGCCTAAGCAAGATTTTCAACAAGTTCATGAAAAGTAAGACAATATTGCTTAGAGTTCAGTGAACCAGAGTATCAACCAAAAGACCAACCTCCTGATTCTGATTAGTTTTGATCTAATTAGTCTTAGTTATTAAAGAGAATATACTTTGTTCTAGTCCCGTTTGCCAGTAAGCAAGGAGATCAGCTAATGTTTCTCCTTCGAAATCTGAGACCACCATATATGTTAATAGTAATCAAAATATTTTAATGGTCTAATTTACTTTTTCAAAATCTACCTAAGCACCTTCTTATTTTATTAGCTAGAGCCGGCATCGTCTTATCCAATTATTGTCACTTTGATTTTTTTTTTTTTTTTTTTAACATTCATCCCTAAGCACTCTGCCCTCTACTAAGAGCTCTTTGGATCAAAATTAGATTTTAATCACATTTTTAGCCTGAAAAAACTGAGAAGCAATAAAACCAAGTTGCCGATCTCTATTTGCAATGTCATTAAAATAATCCTGAACAATTTCGGTTTAGGTAATAAATGCTTGTAATTTTTCTTCTCCTAGATATGGGTCACCTCCAGGTAGATTACAGAGATAACAGACTGCACCCAAGTGAAGATTCTTCACTGGACTCCATTGCCTCAGTTGTGGTTCCCATAATTATATGCCTGTCTATTATAATAGCATTCCTATTCATCAATCAGAAGAAACAGTGGATACCACTGCTTTGCTGGTATCGAACACCAACTAAGGTACTGTCTTGAAAAAGTCTCTTGAATGATGAATCTAGGAAAACTTACACTTATATTGAAATTGCTTGAAACCTTGTGTCTTAACCAGTGAAATGTTTACTTTGCTATTCATAGCCTCAAATCCATACCAGGCGATAGTATGAATCAAATATATAGTACTTGCCCAGGGTTGGACTTATTACAAGGTGAATTTTATCCATTGGTTAATGAATCCTGACCTTACATGGATCCAGTTTTCTGGAGGTACTCTAAAGTTTTCAAATGAACAAATACCTCTGGATTTATTCCAAAATCATTCTTTATATTAGACATTAAACTTGATCACCTGGCATTTATCAGTCATCAGTCAACTTAGAATTGGGAGGGAAAAGAAGTCACAAAGGGAGGGAGATAATAGGAGAGGGCTGGAAGATCATGAGGGTATACAAAAGGCAAAAGGACAGGTCAATGCATCAAAGGCAAGCACCAAGTGGAAAGGTCACAAAAGATGAAGAGGTGGTGGAAAGTAATAGTAGACAAGGTAGGGAGAGGCAGATTTCATATTACGGGAGAAAATATATTTGTTTTCAGTACAAATGTAAAGGGCCTCTAAATCTGCCTATTTTGAAAGATAAGAAAAACCTGTATTAAGGGAAATAAATCATAATCCCTTCCAACTCTGATTCTGCCTTTTGCCTTGAGTTGGTTTATTTTAATCATACAACCTTAAGAATTGGAAACAGCCTGAACAATTACGTAATATAATTTACCATCTGGTTAACCCTTCCATGTAAAAATTCTGTCCTGCGGTTATCCTGCCTCCGATTTTCCTTTGAACAAATGTGCATCGGGCACAGCCTCTATACTGGGTCAGGATACAGTTGCCAATGTCCAAAGCTGGGAAACAGACCCACTCATAAAGTATATGGAATGACTAGGAACACACGGGCTGGCCCAGCCTATGATGGTGTTCTACAGTCTGAGTGGTTAGAAATCATCCCTTTGTTTTTAAAATCTGCCTACCTTCCACTCATTCTTCAACTCCCTTTAAACACAGGTCTGCACTTCAAGGATTTGAAATCATTTCACCAGTCTTTTTTTTTTTTTTTTTCCAGTTCCTTTGTCTTCCTATTTGACATCGTTTTTTGACATTTCACCTTTAAATACAGTTTGTCAGTGTCCTTCGTAAAAGTATAGTTGGTACTAGAACAGGATGTGATACTCTGCATACAGTCTGTCAATGAATTGTGAAACTATTATCTCATCTGAGTTAGGTACTAAATTTCTGTTGATTTGCGATAATGTAAAGCAGCTAATTCTTTGTGGTTTTATTCCTCCTCTCATTAAATAGCCTTCTTCCTTAAATAATCAGCTAGTATCTGTGGACTGCAAGAAAGGAACCAGAGTCCAGGTGGACAGTTCCCAGAGAATGCTAAGAATTGCAGAACCAGATGCAAGATTAAGTGGCTTCTACAGCATGCAAAAACAGAACCATCTACAGGCAGACAATTTCTACCAGACGGTGTGAAGAAAGGCAACTCAGTTGCGGTTTCAAAAGACAGAAGATGACTCAATCTGCTCTAAAAAGTAAACTAGAATTTGTGCACTTGCTTAGTGGATTGTATTGGATTGTGACTTGATGTACAGCGCTAAGACCTTACTGGGATGGGCTCTGTCTACAGCAATGTGCAGAACAAGCATTCCCACTTTTCCTCAAGATAACTGACCAAGCGTTTTCTTAGAACCAAAGTTTTTAAAGTTGCTAAGATATATTTGCCTGTAAGATAGCTGTAGAGATATTTGGGGTGGGGACAGTGAGTTTCGATGGGGAAATGGGTGGGAGGGTGGTGTCGGGAAGAAAAATTGGTCAGCTTGGCTCGGGGAGAAACCTGGTAACGTAAAAGCAGTTCAGTGGCCCAGAGGATATTTTTTTCCTGTTGCTCTGAAGACTGCACTGGTTGCTGCAAAGCTCAGGCCTGAATGAACAGGAAACAAAAAAGGCCTTGCGACCCAGCTGCCATAACCACCTTAGAACTACCAGACGAGCACATCAGAACCTTTTGACAGCCATCCCAGGTCTAAAGCCACAAGTTTCTTTTCTATACAGTCACAGCTGCAGTAGGCAGTGAGGAAGCCAGAGAAATGCGATAGCAACATTTCTCTAAAGCGGGTTATTAAGGATATATACAGTTATACTTTTTGCTGCTTTTATTTTCTTCCAAGCCAATCAGCCAGTTCCTAGCAGAGTCAGCACATGAACAAGATCTAAGTCATTTCTTGATGTGAGCACTGGAGCTTTTCTTACAACAACGTGACAGGAAGGAGGGAGAGGGTGGCGAACACCAGGCATTTCCAGGGGCTATATTTCACTGTTTGTTGTTGCTTTGTTCTGTTATATTGTTGGTTGTTCATAGTTTTTGTTGAAGCTCTAGCTTAAGAAGAAACTTTTTTTAAAAAGACTGTTTGGGGATTCTTTTTCCTTATTATATACTGATTCTACAAAATAGAAACTACTTCATTTTAATTGTATATTATTCAAGCACCTTTGTTGAAGCTCAAAAAAAATGATGCCTCTTTAAACTTTAGCAATTATAGGAGTATTTATGTAACTATCTATGCTTCAAAAAACAAAAGTATTTGTGTGCATGTGTATATAATATATATACACATATATATTTATACACATACAATTTATGTTTTCCTGTTGAATGTATTTTTGAGATTTTAACCAGAACAAAGGCAGATAAACAGGCATTCCATATCAATGCTTTGATCACTTACAAATTTTTTTGAATAACACAAAATCTCATTCTACCTGCAGTTTAATTGGAAAGATGTGTGTGAGTATGTGTGTGTGTGTGTGTGTGTGCACGCACGCCTTGAGCAGTCAGCATTGCACCTGCTATGGAGAAGGGTATTCCTTTATTAAAATCTTCCTCATTTGGATTTGCTTTCAGTTTGTTTTCAATTTGCTCACTGGCCAGAGACATTGATGGCAGTTCTTATCTGCATCACTAATCAGCTCCTGGATTTTTTTTTTTTCTTCAAACAATGGTTTGAAACAACTACTGGAATATTGTCCACAATAAGCTGGAAGTTTGTTGTAGTATGCCTCAAATATAACTGACTGTATACTATAGTGTTAACTTTTCAAACAGCCCTTAGCACTTTTATACTAATGAACCCATTTGTGCATTGAGTTTTCTTTTAAAAATGCTTGTTGTGAAAGACACAGATACCCAGTATGCTTAATGTGAAAAGAAAATGTGTTCTGTTTTGTAAAGGAACTTTCAAGTATTGTTGTAAATACTTGGACAGAGGTTGCTGAACTTTAAAAAAAAATTAATTTATTATTATAATGACCTAATTTATTAATCTGAAGATTAACCATTTTTTTGTCTTAGAATATCAAAAAGAAAAAGAAAAAGGTGTTCTAGCTGTTTGCATCAAAGGAAAAAAAGATTTATTATCAAGGGGCAATATTTTTATCTTTTTCCAAAATAAATTTGTTAATGATATGTTACCAAAATAGATTGACATCAGCCTGATTAGTATGAATTTTGTTGATAATTAATCCATTCCTGGCATAAAAAGTCTTTATCAAAAAAAATTGTAGATGCTTGCTTTTTGTTTTTTCAATCATGGCCATATTATGAAAATACTAACAGGATATAGGACAAGGTGTAAATTTTTTTATTATTATTTTAAAGATATGATTTATCCTGAGTGCTGTATCTATTACTCTTTTACTTTGGTTCCTGTTGTGCTCTTGTAAAAGAAAAACAAATCTAATTTCCTGAAGAATAAAACAGATATATGGCACTTGGAGTGCACCATAGCTCTACAGTTTGCTTTTGTTTTCTTCAAAACACACAAAGCTGTAAGAGAATTATCTGCAACCTGATTCTTGGCAGGAAATAATAAACATTGTGAGTTGAAATCACACAGTGTAACTTCCAAAAAGATTCCATCTCTGGGATCCGAAAGACAAATTGTCCTTTTAAGGTTATCAGTCCAATGAACCTCTGGTGTCACAAGAAGTCCCCGTGCCTTTGTCGTTAGGCGGGTCTTTCCCAAGGAATCCTTGCAAAAAGAAAAGTGTCTCCCAGAGTACGCAGCAGAGCGGTGCTGTTTTTAGGCAGACAAGAAACCTACCTGCTGTCAGAAACGTGCTCATAACTAGTATCAAAATTAACTTGCTACGCACAGGAGGATTGTGGTGGGAAACCCTACAGTGGTTCGATGCTGAAGAAGAAAGACTTTACCAAGCAAAATCAGGGGAAGCCTGACTACAAAGAGACTTTGAGCTGATAGGAAAAAATAGGTATATTTTCATACATTTTAGAAGCATCAATTTAAGAATGAGCTATAAACAGACCACTGTTGAATCTCCTTTAAAAAAATATATCCCCTAAGGACTTTCTGCTACATCATATACCTTTTAAAGCTACATTTCTTCAGTACAAGGCATCATTTTTGCAAATTCACATCAAATTAATTTAAATTATTAATATTACTGGGTATGTGTGTATCTGGGGAAAGGGCCAAGTAAGTTCCACATAAGAACGTTAATAAAATAAGGAAACCATCCTAAGTTTCTCATACCCCTAGAGATGACGGCGGAAATGCCAAGCAGGCATTAAACTTCAAACCGAGCCCCTGCCCTTTGCAGTCATCGCGTCTCAGTTGCTGAGTGCAGTGAGGAATATGCATAGCCCTGTTTGCTCACCAGTGTTCAAGTGGAATTGTGAAAGCTTCCTATAGCAGGTCCCATGTCGTCTATGGGAGGGGCTGCATGGCTGTTTTGTCTGAAATGTCTCACAGCCCCAGAGAAAGAGCAGGACTTCTGTCACTCCACAGCAGCTCAGCATACTCTAAAAAAAAAAAAAGTCCTCCTCTTCTCCTTTGTAGCATTCTGGGACTAATCAGGGTTTCATCTGCTCACACACTGTAGCAATGGGCTCTGTGTGGAATTAAGGGAAAGAATCTAGTACTGTAACGAAAAAAAAATAGAACACAAAATCCCAAATATAAGGCTCTCAAACATATTTTTACTTCTTAAAAAATTTATTAAATGCCATTGATTTGATTGGAACCAGCAAAAGTCCTCATGATATTGATGAATCCATAAGTAGCTGTATCTAGAATTCATACTTAAAACACACAGGCATGAATAAAATACGACACCGTAATGAGAATGGGCAATTCTGCAGTGTACACTTTGTCAAGCACCTCAGAGGATACGAACTTTTAAAGTACAATTCTTCACAGACACCTGAAGCAGAACATTTGAAAATCAAAAGTTAAACAGTACAAGATTCTAAAAGTGAATGGCAATTTAATGGTTAAAATTTGACCAATGGTTAAACAAGCAGCAAGCGACAAAATCCATCATCACCAACAGTTTCCAATGTTCACTAAGTATTAAGCCAAAGTAATGCATATTCTGGTTTTGCTTCTTCAAGAGCAGCCCAAGTTTATTATGTTTCAGTGTCTCTGAACAATACTGGTAGGTAATATTTATACTGACAATTCTCACAAAAATCAGTGTTGGTTCTTGCCATCACTGAATTTATAGTATAAATCTCCCAAGGCTTTAATCTAGTTCATCAGTGCACTTTAGATTAGAAAGCCATAAAAACAAATGGGCTTCCATGTCAGTTAATGAGAAATATAACTGCACATGCACAATTAATATTACTCTTACTCTACTAAGAGAACAGTTCATAATTATTAGTAGATTTAACAAAAACCATCTCTAGAATTCAAAATAGTGCCCATATTTCCATTGGTTCTATAATATAAAGAATTAGTGAAGTCAAGATCTGTTAATACTAAATCAAACCCAAGTTCAAATGTGCTGAGTTTCCAATAGCAAGAAGGTAATGGTAGCCAGCTTTCAGAACAATGCTGTAGGAAATCTAGCTCGGAGCCCACCGTAGATAAAGTTGCTGCTCTATGTAGGACACAGAACTAGAAGGAAAAGAGAACTTTTAGGTAAAAATGTATATTTTGTATACATTTACACAAAACATACATTTTACATGTACATTTAAAAACATTAAGTAATGAGAACTAAATGTTAATGCAAAGATCGATAGTAGCAATTTCTTAAAGGTTTTAAGAGGCTATACCCAACAAGGATGAGTTCTCTCAACACACAGAATTTCCCAGAAATGAGATACCAAAAGGCCATGTCTCTTAGGGTGCCACTTGGAGAAAGAAGCCCCTAACATTTGCCCTATACCATGAGGCTTGCGACACAGCAAACAGGTTCCCTAGGGAAGTCAAAGAAGGGTGCAAGTTTCTGCACACATTTTTATTCCTAACTAGGATCAGCACGGCAGCAGCCACGCGTACATTACTTCAGAATGAGCCTTGGGTCCTACCGGCAAGGCGGCAGTGGCGGCAGGCTGCAGTGGGGTCATTAAGCAGGTGTGAGAAGGAGAAGCTCAATTAGCACAGACAGTGCCCACCCTACTCCCTTTCTCAGGCCCAAATGAGACCACTTTTCTACCTTCTTTCACTTCGGATGTTTGCATTTAAACTAAGATGGTGTATTTAGGCAGCCAAGCCACACTCATCTGTTAAAACAACAACAAACTAGCCAAAAAAGGGGAAGGAGTATTACCCCCTTGAGCAATATCCCCCTCCCAGGCCAAGTGTCCTATGACTGGCCCCCAAGGAGGAGGAACAGTTAACCAGCGGTGAACTTTCAGGATGGGTGGAAAAGAGCATTTTCAATGACCCCATTTCACCACCTTCCCACACGCTTAAATACATCTCCGCATGACACTCCCGTCTTTGTTTTCTCTACTACAGTCTCTGCTGTAGTCTGAATCCTCGCTGCTTTTCCACCCAGTCCTCACAATACAAAGCCAAGACGAAACCACAACACATGCACACAGACAGCGCGCATCAGAAGCAGGTACGGTATAGATAGAACTGGGCTTACAGACAGGAGCCAGCGGCCCGAGCATGAGGAGCAGAATTAGATGGGTGCTGCTTCCCTAAGGCATGCGGTATAGGTAGGTTCACAATTACAGTCCTAGGTTTTCAGAGTAAAGAATTAAAAATCATTTTCCCCCAGAGGACTCTGTTCTTTGGGTCATAACATCCTTCCATGCAGTTAAATGCTAACATAGCTAGAGAATGCTTCAGAAGCTCATTGTATCTCTGGCCCTCACAGAGCCATAGGGACCCGCTATAATTAAAATTTAAGACATGTTCTTTATGTTCATCTCATTCCTGTTTCACATCTAGAAGAACAAACCTCAGAACAATCCAGCTTTCATACCAATGCTAGCACAACACAAAAGCAAACAAAGATGTCAGGTATTAAAAAAAAAAAATCAGAATTTAATAGGGAGAAAATCCTCCATCAGAAAAACAGCTTATTTTAAAAAATGATGTCAACTCAAGTCTGTTCTACCCAGTGTTAACCCACTAATGGCTAGCTCATGCTTCTTAGCTCTTACAGCATCAAGACTCTTAAAAGTGAAACGTGTGATTCACTTTGAGCACCCTGAGTATACTACCGAGGTTCCCCTTTCAAGACACTATGGTTTAAGAAAAGTCCATCTGAGATTTCTAATGTCTCAGAAATCTTCATCTTCCTTGTGCTCAGCTAACTTTAATGGAGAAGAGAAAGAACCCAAAGAAGACTGTTACTAAAAGAGGATTGCTCTCAAAATTTGATCAAACACTACAAGATGCATTTTGTGATGCTTTCAAAATCTGGTCTCTGAATACCTGCTACTTTAAAAAATATTTCATTGAAAAGTATTAATTTTGCTTCTAAAGTTCTTCCGTCCCTTCTTTATCATCCAAATTTTGCTCTTTCCTCAGCAAAGTAACTCAACCTTTCACTCTTCTTTTGCCTCATCAATATTCCCATCCTGTGTGAGCCTCATCTTGCCTCTAAGATTTGTGGCTGGTGTTTCACTGTCCCGGGTTTATGAAAGTCCATTCTTTTTATTTCCCCGCTTCCCTCGCTGTGCCTTACATCAGTCCCTTTCATATTCCCTTTGGCACTGTTCACAGATGTGACTTCCTTCATCCATCCTCACTAATGATCTGTCCTCCTCCTCTCCACTGTCCTCAAGATGACAGAGACCACCCTTCTCAAACTTCCCAGTGCCAACCTGCCAACATCTGATACCCACATGATTATGGTGCCATCTCACTCATTTTCTTCTACTACCTCCCTCGATGTTTATAGTTTAGCTGTAGAGATTATTTCCAGCCCAAAACCTCCAATAAAAGTTAAATTTTATAAAACCGTAATATATAATGTTGACAGAAGTCAGTCATGTAGCTAATCCTCACCCTGCATAACAAGATTAATGAAAGTTGTGCATTGGGAAGTTACTATCTAATGTATTAGCAAGACGATGTATTTTCTGACTAATCCAAACCTCCCGGCCATCGCACCTATACCATTATAAAACTCACCTTTCAGAATATAATCAGTTAACAAGCTCGGAACTTTTTCACTGTCCTCCTTCATGGCACGAAGAACTGCAAAACAGAAAAGGGGGAAAAGACAACGATTAAAAATCCAGATCAAAAATATTATTTAATTTCAATCATTGTGGCCTTCATCTTCCTTAATTATAGGATATAACTGACTCACGCAAATTATAGGTGATTTTCCTGATAAAGGAATACAACAGTAAAGGCCCAATAATTTATTTTAGTGGAGTAAGTTTACAGGAATTTATTTTAGGTAAGAATATCCTGCTTACCTGAGAGTTACTTCCCTGTTTTAAAATTTCCAAACAGTGGAGGCAAAAAAGAGGAACTGGATTATTTACAAGGAGCCTCGCTCTATAATAATACTGGAAAGTGGGTTACGGTAACGTGCACCTCAATGAACTCAGTGCAACAAGAGGACCTCAGTGCTGTAGATCAAGCAAACTAGAGAAACTCTCAGAGAAATGGAAAGTTAGCTATACCCCCAACAAGCATATCTGTCAGACTCCTTGAAACTTTCAAAGAAAAGACCCAAATAAAGAACAGACTTCCATGAAGCAGCACCTGGCATCTGCCTGGCTGTCGCCTCCTCTGCACTAGGGGAGGAACCTGGGAGAATTAACCTCATCCTAATTGGACAATTTTATCTTCTAAGTAAAAACTAAAAGAGAAAAAACAGCCACCTAGTATAATGTTTTTCTTTTTTAAGCTAGATCATTCAGGTCGAGATAAACTCACAAATATTATACTTTAACAGAGTTTGCCCACTCAAATTTTCTCCCGAGCATCCTGGTAAAAATATTTCACTGTTTTTCCCCACCGATACGACAAGGCAAAACAGTGTAACTATCAAATCAGCCTTCCTGGGTTTAAACCCTGGCTCTGCCACTTCCTAATTGTGTGATGTGGAGCAAGCTACTTAACCACCTTTGTACCAAGCTCTTCCTCTGTGAAATGAGAATAATAATTAGATTTCATCTCAAAGGTTTGTGAATGGGGACTAAGCTACTAATTCAGATACAAAGGTCCTATCGTAGTGCCTGGCACATAGTACATGCTATGTATTAACTGTAACTAACACTACTAATATTATTAAAGTTTCTATTACTATTATTATTATACCCAGAATCCCTTAATAGCTTTTAGGAGGAAGACTATATATCCATAAACACTGTGACTGTCTCCACAGGGCTCTTCTTTTGGAAAGAAAAGGAGCTTTGGACCCGAATATGTCCAAAGATTCCAAACTGTATCAACCTATAAAGACATCTCGATGCTGGAATTAGATGATGACTTTAGTTTGACCAACGAAGTATTTGTTCTTGATCTGAGAAGCGGAGGCCTGCCAGTAATTCCTGGCTTATAAGCAATATTTATTTATGTTCCCTTCTTTAGAGGGCCACCATGTTCAGTATTTCTGCTTCCAATCATGTTTAAAATTTTTTCTAACTTCTATATAAAATCACATACCAAAAACCAGCATCATTAAAAGTATCATTTCCTGGGAATTAAGAGACCCAGCTCTGTAATTAACCATCCCCCTGTGTGATCTTGGACACGCATAACTTCAGAAGTTCTTCCTGAAAATAAGAGGGCTGGCTACCCAGTTAATCTCTTGATTTTTTATTTCAGACTGGCTGGCATCACTTGATTTATCCATATTTAAATATAAAACTTTTTAAAGAATTATTCACCAAAGGAAAGAATAAAAGCTCCGAGTTAGCAGGCAGGGAGCTAAGAAATATGACACTTGCTTCTACTCTTAGGTTTTCCATGCCCATTCCTCCATATCTTGAATTTCCAAAATAAATATCATCATCAATACTCATCCATGTGATGTTCTTTCATTTGGTTCCCCCCTAATTAGCAAGTATCACAAATATTTACCATCACAAAGACCTAACAGATCAGCAAAATTCAATCCCTTCATTTTAACAGCAGTGACAACAAGGCTAACTGATAGTAACTTAGCCGAAATCACACATACATTAATCTATTTACTGGGAAGTAAATAGAACAAATATTTTTTACGCTACTGTTTCAATGTGAGCAAAAGAGAGTAAGTAACTTCCAAGGATATCCCTGAAAATAACAGGGATAGAACCAGAATTCAGTGCTCATTTGTGGCTATCATAAGAGATACTCAGTATCATATATATTTAAATCTAACAATTTTTTTTAATGCAAGCCCCTTGAAGGTGGATTATTTTTGTCTGCTTTGTTCACTAAAGTATCCCAAGTGCCCAGATCATGGCCTGGTACAGAATAGGCCTTCACCAAATATTTACTGAATGAATGCATGTACTTTTTTTTTTTTTGAGATGGAGTCTCGCTGTGTCGCCCAGGCTGGAGTGCAGTGGCGCGCGATCTCGGCTCACTGCAAGCTGTGCCTCCTGGGTTCACGTCATTCTCCTGCCTCAGCCTCCCCAGCAGCTGGGACTACAGGCGCCCGCCACCACACCTGGCTAATTTTTTGTATTTTTAGTAGAGACGGGGTTTCACCGTGTTAGCCAGGATGGTCTCGATCTCCTGACCTCATGATCTACCCGCCTCAGCCTCCCAAAGTGCTGGGATTACAGTCGTGAGTCACCGCGCCCGGCCTTGAACACATGTTCTTAAAACATCACTGTCAATTTATGTTCTACCTATAATTACTCCCTCGGGTTCTACATACATAAGAAAAAAAGTGTTTACCCTAAATCCTTCCTATTCAGTTACTGACAGTCATAGATATATAAGATCCATGAAGAATTTTATTTATGATAAATGGATACATTCTTAAACACGTAAGAGATGATGGAGATTCAGGTTATGCTTCTTCCCAAAAGTTTAGCTCATAAATATTTCACAAGGTCAGAAAAACAGAAAAACTACAAATCAACACTAGAGTTACTGTTGTATTCAATGTCACAGCCATTGTTGGCTTCATTCTTATAAAAATAAACAATTATATGCATCATTTACATCCTAAATTGACAAAACACTAACAACAAAATCAGCCAATTAAAGTCAGGTGTTTACTGATCAGCAAAAGTAAATCAGGTAATAGTTTCATTTTTTCTTTGCTCACTTTTTGTTAATATTTGAAGATCTTCAACAGATGGTGGTCCGTTTTTCTTCTCATAAGGAATGACTGTAGTCAAATACTGCCAAGTTAAAAAAAAAAAAGTCACTTAAATCGGAATTACCTTATCTCCAAAAAATTTGATACTGTTACTAGAAGGTCTATTTCATAATATAAAAACATAAGCTACTTTGGTAATGAAAACAAAGGTATTGTATGGGAATAAAGGTATCTTACTATCTCAGATGGAGCTCATTTTTTTTTTTGCCCATCTCTATTTGCTTCACACAAACCTAGTGTCAACAGAAACAACCACTTTTTTGCATTTCAGTTATTGAAAATTTCATAGGACTAAGTCTGAGGATGATTTACTCAATTTGTTCATTTTTAAAGTATTATCTCATATTCTCCTTGCATATTTTTCAACACATTTTAAAAATAGCAATTAAAACTAAAAACATCGTTTTAATAGTTCTGCACAAGAAAGTAATTTCCAACAGCAAAATAATTCTGTTTCAGACCATTTTTATTCTGGTTGAACAAATGGTCCACGTATATAACACGACAACTTTGAAAAACACACACTAGCTTCTTGCAGAAGCTAACAAAGACACACTTAAATCATTTTAGAAATGCGTTATTACTATTATTTTAAATTATTGGGTAAGTCATTATAAACGTTTTTAGGTATTAAAGGAGAAAAGTGGAAGTAGAGAATGGCCTAAGGGGAAATGAATAATGAAAATTCATGTCTGAAATTGACACAAACTTCCTAGTTCACTACTTGTAAAGGCTCACAAGTAACAGCGCCATGTCTTATAACTAATCCCATGAAAGCATAATCCATAAATGATTGTCCAGATTCTCCTACTCTTACCATCCCACCAAAAAAATAGTTCCATGCATTTCACATGTGCTCATATAGAAAGCCAGTGGTTTTCACCTGGAATCTCTTTAGCTCCACCCATGATTTAACCTCGTGCCCTAAATCTCAGCTCTAATCCTCATTGAGTGATCTTATCCTGCCCATAACTGAAAAACAGGATAAAGAAAGCTGCTTTACAATAACTGGATCCCTAAGTCCAGAAAACTGGTAAAACTGCATAGTTCAATCTTGGAGGCACTTAAGTGTTCCACCATCTTTTTGATGTAGACTTCTTGCAGGTGATGCCCAATTGTATAATCGAATGTTTCTTTGGAAAGAACAACAACAACAAAAGGCCAGAAATGATGTCCTCCTGGCTTCACTCTGCACGTGTCAGGCAACCTGGAGAGGCAGCAGGAGGCCGCGCCCTGGCCCGCTCTCTGGCTACCTGGCTGCGTTTTCAGACCTCCCTGCTCCACTCAGTGGAGTCTGGAAGATTCCTTGCCTTCTTGTGAGGTTGAGAGAGGTGAGAGGCACCGGAATGAAAACCAAAATTCAAACAGCCCTTCATGGAGCTCACTGATGAGCTGCAGATGTCCGTGTGAACCTTCCCTCTTTAATAGGAATGATCCCCCTTTTTGAGAAACACATAACTACCTTCAGTAAAAACTGCAGGCATTTGATCTAGGCATTCTTTTGCTAAACTTCCTACAAGCTACATTTTGTACACCTTCTTAGTCTGCACAGAAGAGCTAACTTAAAGAGCTTTCTCTTTTAAGGTGAAAATTTCATATAGCGAAATTTGAAGCATACCCATTCATGTGAACGTTTCCCATGTTGGTGATATTCCTTCAATCAGTATACAAAAATGTGAATCAAAAGCAAATTGCTAGATACTTGATTATACATTCATATCTATGTATAATCTTGTATAAATAATGTCTCATGCCTCGTTTGGCAGACAACTTGAGTTGGCTGACTATGCAATACACCTTAAAAACACATGAATTTCATTTAAAGGAGGTAAGATATACTCTATACATATTTTTGACCTAGAACTCTAGTCTCAAACGTACCAACCTCTGGCCTTCTTCCCCCAAAAATGACATCTTGCTTCTTAGACTTTTAGAATTAGAGTCACATAGTTTAGTTATTTTCACAAGCAGATTTCCTACACATGCAATACAATATGTTAAAATGTTAATGTCTATTTGTTTAAAACTAAGAGTGAGAAATGGAGCTCTAAAACATGTATTAAGAATGCATTTAATCTACTGTCCAATTTGAAAAATGCTTTTTCCTCAAAGGGAAATTTTGTTCATTATCAAGACTATAAACATAATGAACTTTTATAATAAACTTTTATTTCTCTCTTTAAGCAATGGTCTTAGTAAATTAGTAAAACTACCAGCTTTCAGGATCTTCACTTACACAGGAAATGAAAAAGCAGAGAATGAGGAAAATAAGGATAACCGAGCACCTGTTTCTCTCCACCTGAATTTCCAAAGGTGTGGCGGAGGCCATTCTGAATGACATTTGAGATCCCTTCCATGCTGAAGCGCTAAAGGCGGCAATATACGGCCCAGAAGAAAAGGACAGAGAGAGAAGTTCAAAGTCTATTAGTAAGAATGTACCATGATGACTTACGTGCCCGAGAGGCAAGCAGTTAGAAAATGCCACTACTCATCCAGATAAAGCACACAAACTCATGCTCTTTTTAAAATGTTGCTGCTTCCATTTCTTTGCAAGGTAAATGCAAAAGCAACTGTTTTTATGCTACTATACTCATGCAGGCATTTTTCTGACGTAGCTAATAAAATTGTTCCAATGTAAATGTCAGTTGTACACATATTTGTTCTATACAAAATGTGCTGTGTAATTTTTAAGATACTTTTTGATATTATTTACCTACATTTTATCAGAAGTCTGAAAACTTAATATGAACAGTATGCATATTTTCAGCTTAAGTTTGTATAATTCTACCATCAGTTTGGAGAACATTAACATAACATTTAGCAAATGAAAATGCTGTTACTTGGAGAGCTGATTATTGCTTCCCACTCACTCTGCGGGCCACCTGCCACTGCCTTGGTGCAGAAATGCGAACTAGAAGACGGCATACGCTTCCTGGAGAGCAGAGTGGATCCCATGTGCCAGCGAGGCCCCCAAAAACTTCTCCAAAGACTTTTCCACTCCGTTTCTAGGAAACAATTCTAGTTTCTTTCTCCCAGCAACCTCCAAGACTTCCTAGAATTCTTTGTACTGAAAAGGGAGTATTTTTTTCCTGAACAACTTATCTTGATTTGTAACCAGTCTACAATGTCATCGGGCATCGTAAAAAGAGTCTGGTGGCACCTCTATGGCGGCTGAGTCAAAGGAGTGAGATAGATTCTTACAGCATGACTAATTAAGGGGAAAGGCATCGTGAAAGGGAAGTGAAGGCCTGATTCACTGGATGGTTCCTTCCCCTGGAATTTTATAGAGGAAATTAAAATCAGTAAACACATTTGAGGAGTCAACATAAAGAATATTTTACCAGGCCCCAAGGGGCAGAAGAAAGGAAACCAAGGAAATGGTCATCAAGAAACATATATAGTTTCGTCCAGTGGTTCTCAAAGTATAGTCCAGGGACCGCCCTCCCACTCAACTCCTGCCAAGAGGTCCCTGAAATCCTCTCAGGAGTTCATGAGTTCAAAAATGTTTTCCTAATACTACTAAAATATGAGTTGTCTTTTTTACTCTCATTCTCTCATGGCTTGCAGTGAAATATTCCAAATGACAGACTGCATGCAGAAGCACATTTGTGAATCTAGCTGTCTTTCATCAAGCCAGATGTTAATGAGATTGACAAAAATACACAGCAATGATATTTTTTCATGATGTTGTAAAATATTATTTTTCATAAATATATGCTCCTTATAATGAATTTATTTTTGGTATTTTTCATGAATTTATATTTTTAATTTTATCACTTTTAATCTGTAATATAGCAAATATTAAGCTTCTTGGGGTCCTCGATAAATTTTAAGAGTGTAAAGAAATCTTGATGACAAAAGGCTAAGAAATGCCAACAGGCTGAATCATTGAGGGAGCTATGTGCTTCTGTATCCGTCACGTAACTCTATGGAGTTACTGAAAATCTGAGTTCCAAATGTTACCACCTTATAGGACACTGTACAAACATGCCCCGCCTCCTAAACCATCCATCTTTCCTATCTAGCCTTTCCCAGATTTGCAAGGCGGTTTTGCTTCAGCAAGAATCAAATATCTAGTCAGGATACTCTGCTGACGACTCTTCACTTCACTGAAAGCATAACTATTAACTTTGATGGAGGAGGCTAGTTATAAAACAAAAACCTACAGGTAACTATTTTTGTAAACTTTTTTAAACAGATTATCAAACGAGAGAACATCTTAGGCTTCAGAGTATATAATGACAATTATGAGAAACTATTTTCAAATAACCAAGTCAGTTTTTTAATTATTTCCATAAAATATATTTTCTTTCAAATGTGACAAAGAGAAATGCACTTGTTTTTAAGTACTTAGTCTATGTTACCTGGCTCCATTATCTATGGGCATGTTAAAACTAGATACAAATTCATAAAATCTAAAGCAAGATTAAAAGTTTCAGAATCCACATTATCAGGAAACTAAGACACATTTTATATTTGGAAAGCATATTCCAAAAACACCAGCTTTATGTTCCCAACCAGAAAGCCAATATCTGTCACTAGAAAAAACAAAAGTTGATGCAGTTTCAATTTTATAAGATGGAGATGTCATTTAGGTTTTCTTTATTAAATGGTTGCAGACATTACTGCGCCATCTCAACTACTGATAGCCTGACTACTTGTGAAAGATAGCTTTTGTGCCACCAGAATTCTAGGCTTAGGGGAAATCAGTGAAAATGCAACCATGGGACGCCAAGGTAACCTGGAAAAACAAAACTAACAGCTGATGCCAGTGAAAGAAGGTAAAGCAAGGATGCAGAACCTCTGTCCTTGCTGCTGAGTCAGTGGCTGTAGCCGACAAGGCCCTACTGTCCCCAGCTCTTTCACTGACAATGAACCAGGGAAGCAACGTGCAGCCTGTACAGTTCAATAGCCTCTTGATCCGTTGGAAAATTACAGAACAAGGAAATCAGAAGGTTCTACAGGAAAAAAAAAAAAAAAAAAACACTAAAATCTATGTCTGAGAATGTTCCTCCATCAAAC